CGCTGTGTTTGGAGGAAGAAAAATGCTGACTATGACCCTAAGAACACCATCCCTACAGTCAAGTGGAAACATTATGCTTTGGGGCTGTTTCTCTGCTAAAGGTACAGGCCGACTTTGCTGCATTGAGGGGCCAATGGACAGGGCCATGTATTGTAAAATCTTGGATGAGAACCTCAGTATACCGCGAGCTACTGAGCTTAGGGTAACGGGAGGATGCTAGTTTGTGTCCTCCCGTTACCCTAAGGAGAACTATGGGGAAAAGCCTTAACCCCATAGTTCTCCTTTAAGGAGTGCTGGTATTTTCCAGGATCATCAGTAGGTGTGTATGGGGATCATCAGCAGGTCTTTCAGGATCATCAGCAGGTTTGTTCCAGGATTATCAGTAGGTGTGTTCCTGGACAATCTGTGTGTTCCAGGATCATCAGTATGTGTTTTCCTGAAGCATTAAGGTGCCCATACACTGCACGATTCTCGTACGAGAATTGCAGGAAATCCCGCGATCATACGAGAAGCGTGCAGTGTATGGAAGGCGTGCGACCGTTTCTACTGTACGGTCGCACGTCTTCCATCCAACGAGCAGGCTGGAAAACCCGCCGGGAATGGTACGATTCTCGGCGAGTTAGTGGCCTGCTTGTTCGACAACTGCCGAACGATGATTACTTTATTTCCACTTCCTGGTCCACATTGGCACAAATGATGTAATCCTGCCCAAACATTGCATCCTGGGAAGGTTACATCAGCAGAGCATTGCTGGGAAATCTCATATGTAATCTCATGAGAGCTCAGGGAAAGGCATTTTCCTCCCCTGAGATGATGTGCATGTTCACATGTCTAGTCACATGTGCCAGAGTTCCAGGAAGTAAAGGGAGGTTAATTCATCTGCCCTTAGTAAACATGGCCACTGTCAGAAGACTGGGGAAAAAAAGACAAATAAGGTATGCTAAGAATACAAAGCTGGCAATTATCTAGAAGTATCTGTTTGTAGGTTGTCATTACTAAACATTTCTAAAGGTGCCTCTGTTGTTATTTTGAAGATATGGGTAAAGTTCCTCTTTAACAAGGATTGTGGGGTTTTTTTTCCATTTAACAAGTTGTTGTTTTTTATTGTAGAAATCATGCAGCTCGCATGAAATCGTGCAGATCAAATACATGAATGTCAGCTACAGCTGTGCAAATAAGAAAATGGAAAACATCAAGGTAAGAAATCTTGAGCACATCGTACAGTGTCAGAGACTGAATGTCGATATTATGATTCAGAGGAGAACAGTGTAGAAACAACAAACAATAGGCATCCTGATATACTGTATTGTAAAGCGCTGTGCAAACTGTTGGAGTTCTAGACATCCTGTATAATAATTTCTATCCTAGTATAGTATAATAGTCTCTATCTTAGGCGTGCGCAGCCTATTGCATTAGGTGTGCAAATGCCGGTCTGAGGTTTGCCAATAGACATCTAAATGATTCAGAGAAGGATTGGGAGAAAGTGCTGCGGTCAGATGAGACCAAAATTGAGCTCTTTGGCATTAACTGGACTCGCTGTGTTTGGAGGAAGAAAAATGCTGACTATGACCCTAAGAACACCATCCCTACAGTCAAGTGGAAACATTATGCTTTGGGGCTGTTTCTCTGCTAAAGGTACAGGCCGACTTTGCTGCATTGAGGGGCCAATGGACAGGGCCATGTATTGTAAAATCTTGGATGAGAACCTCAGTATACCGCGAGCTACTGAGCTTAGGGTAACGGGAGGATGCTAGTTTGTGTCCTCCCGTTACCCTAAGGAGAACTATGGGGAAAAGCCTTAACCCCATAGTTCTCCTTTAAGGAGTGCTGGTATTTTCCAGGATCATCAGTAGGTGTGTATGGGGATCATCAGCAGGTCTTTCAGGATCATCAGCAGGTTTGTTCCAGGATTATCAGTAGGTGTGTTCCTGGACAATCTGTGTGTTCCAGGATCATCAGTATGTGTTTTCCTGAAGCATTAAGGTGCCCATACACTGCACGATTCTCGTACGAGAATTGCAGGAAATCCCGCGATCATACGAGAAGCGTGCAGTGTATGGAAGGCGTGCGACCGTTTCTACTGTACGGTCGCACGTCTTCCATCCAACGAGCAGGCTGGAAAACCCGCCGGGAATGGTACGATTCTCGGCGAGTTAGTGGCCTGCTTGTTCGACAACTGCCGAACGGGCCGGTGTGTGCACGCGCACACTGCCCGTTTGCAGTCATCGGAAGCCCGCCCCTCATTGCAGTCGATGATCTCAAGTACGATCTGCCTGTCCAAGATGGGCAGATCGTACGTTTTTTTAAGTACTTTACAACCCTCGCAAGACAAAAGTCTTGTGAGGGTTGTAAAGTGTATGGCCACCTTTAGTATATGTGTTCCAGGATCATCAGTCGGTGTGTCCCAGGATGATGCATAGGTATGTTACAGGATCATCAGCATCGTGTTTAGAGATCATCAACAGGTGTTTCAGGATTATCAGGTGTGCCCCAGGATCATCAGTACGTGCGTTTGGGGATCATCAACAGGTCTTTCAGGATCATCAGTACGTGTGTTCCAGGATAAACAGCAGGTGTTCTCTAGAATCATCAGTAGGTGTGTTCAGGGATCATCAGTAGGTGTGTTCAGGGTCATTAGTGGGTTTGCTCAGGGTCATTAGTGGGTTTGCTCGAGGATCATCAGCAGGTGTATTCCAAGAGCATCAACAGGTGTGTTCCAGGATCATCATTAGGGACAGTATGTAGGACAACCAGATTACAGGCAAATGAGACTTGAATGGTCTGTTGCTCTGCTACAATGCCTTGATAAAAGAGGATGATACAGAACAGATAGGCTATGCTACCTGTATACGGCTTCATTTTCCATTTTGTCTGTGGTATAACTCTAAGCACATCTATTCTAGAGTTTATTACACAGGACTTGCAATACCTCATTGTTCAGCTCAACTGGAGTGGATTTATTGTTGGTGACCTGCACTCCAGATTGTATAGAGGCATCTCTAGGTCTGCACCCATCTTTACTATATTTGGGAGCTACAATAGTGGTGACAACTGTAAAAGTAGGGCTTCACCATAGAGTTATTAAACCCTTGCGTGTTTTTGCATATATCTACGGCTACCAAGCCGTAGATATATGCAAAACGATTGAAAAAAAACTTTTTCAAAGGGTTAATACTGACCTGTGTCTCCGCGCATGTCCTGTAGATGTGCCTGGACTAGAGCGATTTGAATGGCACCTCAAACACATCTCCGGCCCACAGTTCGACCGCCTGCACCCGAACGTGCGGTCCCGCGCATTCCAGGGCGGTGCAACTTGGGTCATGATTTAATGGCCAAGGACAAATGTGGGTCCTGAGGTTACACAGGTTGAGAACCACTGGACTAGATAGATCATGTGACATCTCAAGGGGCGCCACCACCCATCTCACCCACATCAAGGACCGTGGCAAGGTTGAGGCGAGTGAGGCACTTGCCTCGGGTGCAGCTGCGAGGGGACGCAGAAATGGCCAGTCTGGCTGTGACCCCTTGCCCCTATTGCCATGGCGGGCACAGGGCGGCAGGTGGCCAACACAGCTCAGCTTAGCGAGGCAGGGAGAAGAGGGGCGGCACAGCCTGCAGCTTCTCCTCAGATCCCTGCTGCTCTCCCCCAACTGTATGGGCAGAGGCAGCAGGGATCCGAGGAAAAATTAAGCGCTACAGCCAGCGGGGGGTGTAATAGGGAGGTGTCATCCAGGTTCGCCGAGCGGTGAGTAAGGAGAGAGAGCGTCTCTCTCTCTCTCTCTCCTCACCGCTCGGCCATCCTGAAGTGACAGTGCTCCCTCCTCCCCTGCCAGCTTCAGCGCTCCTTCTCCTGCGCAGCTCTGTGTGTGGCCCAAGCGGATCAGGATGGAGAGCAGAGGATTGGTAAATATGTGTGATATTTACTGATTCTCTGTTTGCAGCGCAAACACTGGAGTGATCAGCTGATCACTCCAGTGTTTGTAAACAACTGGGGACGCATAGTACTGAGTCTCCAGTTACGAATAAACAGGAAGTGCTTTACATCACTTCCTGTTCATTCATGTGTTTCTGAATGGGTAGTAGCACTCAGTAGAGAGGCTTCTACCCATTCATAGCTGGATGATAGTAAATATTTTACTATCTCCAGTTTCTGAATGAATGGGAAGCCTCTGTACTGTTCTTTTTCTATTTCAAAAGGGAAATGTCAGGGGTCTGTTTAGACCCCTAATATTTCCCCCAAGCCCCCCAGCAGTTAAAAAAAATAAATACATAAATTAAAAGAAACACCCCCACCACACAGACATATATTATTAGACATTAGCAAACACTAAAAATGTGTTTCTAACAAAATGAACGGAAACGAAAAATTTTAGTTTTGTCAAACGAAACAAATATTTGTGGTATTTCGGATTCGCCCACCGGCGCGTTCTGCACATGATATCACATGACGCTGCGCGTGCACAGCGTCAGATGACGTCACACACCTGTTTAGGGGGCACAATGTTGTGTTCTTTTCTCGGGCACAAAAGGAGCTAGCTATGGTACTGCCCACATCTATAAAAACTGGTCATTTCCGAAGGGCCCTGGTGCAGCTGCCCTGGGGTGAGTCGGCGATGGGGGGCGCCTGTCGTGCAAATAGTGGGGTGCTCAGCAATGATGCCTATATTAAGTGCTGGGGGAACCAACTGTGCACTGTCAATGGGCACCTATGTCTGTCCTCATCCTGGGGTGGTATTTGTAGGGCTATTAGTGTGCAGGGATTGTCTCTGCAGGGGTCCCTGTCCCCATGCTCCAGTCCCTACGGTTCCTGCACAGATTTGCTGCCATTGAGAAGCTGTGTCAGCCATGCTCAGCAGCTGTCACCCCTCGGGGAGCCTGTGTCACTCCCATGGCAGGTCTATACGGTTGTGTCCCTCCGATGGCTTATCTGTCCGGCATGCTGCCTCCCCCTTCCCCGCCCCCCGATCAGGATGCTGCTGTCAGCCGGCCCCTAGCTGTCATGTCACGGATCCTCCCACGTTAGCCCCGCTGGCAGAGCGCCCTCTGGCGGCCGTCCCCGCGCAGTGAAGCAGGGCAGGAGCTGGTACTCACCGTGGCCGCTCCGCTCCGCTCTGCTCCAGAGCCGGTTCTGCCAGCCGCCGTGTGATTCTGCGCACACCGACACCGGCTGAGCCTGGCATTGTGCGCACGGAGAGCAGCCCGGACCCGGCATGGCTTCTGGGGACCTGTACGAGGTAAGCGATTACAACCTCCCACCCCCTCCGTCCTTCCCTTCCCGAGCCGCATACGAGGGGGGAGGCTGTACACCGAGCCCGGTACACCGGGGGGCACTTTCCATACGCAGGCCTATTACCATAATGGGGAGGGAGTGGGGGGCCCCGAGGACGAGCTGAAGGTTGTTGTGATGAGGGGCGGGAGGTGTGGGGTGTGTGTGCCATGGGCTGGGGCAACTGTGGTCCGTGTGAGCGCTCATCAGTGCCCAGGTGGGTGATACACGTGTGCTGGGCACTGCTGCAGAACCTCTTTACAGGTCACCAGTGTCAGTCATCAACCAACTTTATAAAGTCACTTCATCTGGATCTACATCACACTGTGCTGTCAGGTCTTCTCTTGTCAATGCAAGCTCTCAGGCTCCTGCATGGTCAATGACATGTGCTTGGCTGCTGCAAAACCTCTTTATAGGTCACCAGTGTCAGTCATCAACCAACTTTATAAAGTCACTTCATCTGGATCTACATCACACTGTGCTGTCAGGTCTTCCCTTGTCAGTGCAATCCCTCAGCCTCCTGCATGGTTCTATGACATGTGCTTGGCTGCTGCTGCTGTAGAACCCCATTGTAGGTGACCGCTGTCAGTCCTCGGCCAATTTTATAAAGTCACTTCATCTGGATCTCCATCCAACAGAACTGACGTGTCTACTTCCTGTCATTAGAAGTGTTCAGCATTGTTGGTGGATCAATGCTTATAATGTGTGCTTGGCGGCTGCAGATCCTCATTGTAGGTCACCGCTGTCAATCATTCCCCAGCTTCATAAAGTCTCTTCCTCTGGGTCCCCAACAATCCGTGCTGTCAGGTCTTCTCCTGTCACTAGAAGCTCTCAGACCCCTTGAAGGTTCAGTGCTTATGGTGTGTTTGGCCAACTTTATAAAGTCACTTCTTCTGGAACCACATCCATACTGTCAGGTCTATCAGCCTTTTTGATGGTTCTGGTATCACATGACTTCATACTTGGCTGCTGCGGAATCTCTTGTAGGTCACAAGTGCTGGTTCCTCCAGCTTTGTAAAGCCGTTTCTATTGGATTAACAAGCAGCTGTCACTGTCGGGTTTTCCTGTTGTGATTTGGAGCCGGTACCATTCTGATGTTACAGGTATCAATGAAATAAAATCTGATTGCACAATCTCCTTTAGATTTACCATCAACAGGGGAGGACAAAGTGATATGGAATTCAGGAGCCGGTCAGTCCAATCCAGGAGGTGGCAGGATTATTTAGGGGGCGCCTCCTGATAACAAGTACCAAAGAACACCTCAAAAGTTAGGCGCCAGCTGTAAACTGTAAGGAGCATTGGCGCCCTGGTTCCTGGGATTTGTCCAGTGCTGGGTATTACGTTGCCTGTGATGGACACTTGTCTACAGGGCAGAACCTATCCGTGGTCCTGTCAGGTTTACTCTTTCTGTCATTAGAATGTATTCTATCTCTACGTCTGCCATGATTTCGTTTTTACTCCTGCAGAGCTGAATGTCTCCTAGGCTCAAGTTTTAAGAGGCGTGAAAGTGTGGCCACACTCGCATTTCCAGGTTCAGCAGCTCATGCGAGGTGCTCCGGCAGCCATTGACTCCTCAGCGTGATCACACAGGATGACTTAATTGAGTGACTCATCAGCAGCTACAGATTACTGAAGTGTGACCACTCCACTCGCAGATTGTTTCATTCGGGCTCTCGCGGTATGACTCTTCGCGATTAGAAGCCTTCATCTGCTGGGAATCTACAGGTGGTCCTTTTCTGCGTGCACCCAAAGCTTAGATTAGCCAACATGGCCATTGCTTGAAAAGTTCATGGGAACCTTTGTTGAGGCAAAAACATGGAGGCTGCCATGTTCATGTCATTGTTCCATGTTAGGCTAGATCTAGATCACCTTAATGTCTGTGAAGGTTCTCATTCCTCCAGGTCATGGTATGTCTGTAAAAATATAAGTCAAGGCACCTGGACTTGCAGTATTTTTCTTAAAGATGTTTCACTAGTCATCCAACCAGCTTTCTCAATTTAGAGTTGAGAAAGATGACCAGTGAAATGTCTTCAAGAAATATACAGCAAGTCCAGTTTCCTTGACTTATTTTTTTACAGATAGATCACCTTTGGATCTACCTAGCTTTAGATTGAAACCAGAACCCCTGATGTGGCACTCTTTTTGTGTGCTTGTGACTTACAAAATTTGGCATGGCAGCCAGGCAGTTAGGTCTTCAGTGGCAGCCTCCATGTTACTCTCATGACTGGTTTCCTATTAAGCTGCAAATCAGCAAAATTATTTAGTTTGATATTTATGTTGGTTTACTGGTCTTGTTCCCCCATGCTTGTAGAGGCTTTGGAATTAGTCAGTGTGTCTGATGAGAGTTGTTAGGTTCTGGCAGGTTTTCCTGGTGGGTCCGTCCAGTTTCTGGGATTCCATTCAAGTAGCTGGTCTGGACAAAATTTTGAAGGGCTTCTGGACAAAATGAGTTGACCCGATGATGGCCTCATTGAATGCTCTGATGATTGGGTTTTCAGAATTTCATACTAGACTTCCAGGGATTATCTATGGCTAGCTTTAAAATCGGAACCCTAATCTGCCACTATTTTTGAATGTTCATGATTTAAGAGGGTTGGCATCCAGGCAGTTAGCATTATTAGTAGAAGGTCTTTTCTGGTTGGTCTATTTACTGTTGCCCCCTGTGGTTAGAATTGACAAAAGTCCATTCATGTATAGTTACATATGGCAATGAGTAGATTGAAAATATGTCCTATTGGGCACAGTGGGTAGACCATGAGCCCTTCCACTAGGCACAATGAGTGGACCATGAGCCCTTGTACTGGGCACAATGGGTGGACCATGAGCCCTTCTACTAGGCACAATGAGCCCCTCTACTAGGCACAATGGGTGGACAATGAGCCCTTCTACTAGGCACAATGGGTGGATCGTGAGCCCTTCCACTGGGCACAATGAGTAGACAATGGGCCCTTCTACTCTGGACATTGGGTAAACCATGAGCCCTTCTTCTGTGAACAGTGGGTAGACCGTGAGCCCTTCTACTGTGGGCAATGGGTATACCATGAGCCCGTCTTCTGTGGGCAATGGGTATACCATGAGCCCGTCTTCTGTGGGCAATGGGTAGACCATGAGCCCTTCTGTGGGCAATGGGTAGGCCATGAGCACTTCTACTGTGCACAAAGGGTAGAACATGAGCCTTTCTGCTGTGTAAAATGGGTAGACCATGAGGCTTCCAACTGTGCACAATGGGTAGACCGCGAGCCCTTCCACTGTGGACAATAGATAGACCGTGAGCCATTCTACTGTGGACAATAGGTAGACCATGAGCCCTTCTAGTGTGGACAATAGGTAAGCCGTGAGCCCTTCCACTGTGGACAATAGGTAAACCATGAGCCCTTCTACTTTGCACAATGGGTAGACAATGAGATCTGCTACTGTGCACGATGGGTAAACCATGAGTCCTACTTTTGGGCACAATGGGTGGACCTTGAGTCCTTCTGTGCATTATGGGTAGGCCATGAGCCCTTCTAATGGGAGCATTGGTTAGACCATGAGCCCTTCTACTGGCCACAATGAGTAGACAATAAGCCCTTCTACTGGCCACAACAGGTAGACAATAAACCCTTCTACTGGGCACAGTGGGTACACCATGATCCTGTAGAAGCATAAAGAAATGAAATCACACTGTTAGTGGTACATTTTGAATGATGATGATAATAATGCACATTATTGAACTTATTTTATTGTATTCCTTAAATATATATATTTTACATAAACCTGTTGACGTTATGAATGAGCAATTATTTGAAACACTTCAGCACTTCACAATAGATGGACTCAACACCAAATACAATTGTTAAAAAAAAAAATTACATTTCATTAAATCCAAAATATCTTCAAAACCTCAACAATTATGGATATAAAAGAAACCTATTGACGATTTGTTTGAACTTGTCTTGGACTTTTTGATATTTAGTCTTGTCTTGGAAACAATGATATTTGATGTTGTGCGGTACCAGTAAAGTCCAGTTTTCCTATTTTATGTAGAGTTATGTTCAGTTTTGGATGTGGTACCGGGATTAACCACCAATATATTGGACTTTAAATCATTTAAATAATTCAGCAGAATGATGCTCGGGGCGAATGTTCGTTTCCTCTGGCATAGGCTCTATATCATTCTTATAGGCACAACCCCTCCGGATAATGTGGATGCTGAACCGCTGACAAGGTGATGTGTGTCTGTTGATATTTTAAAAAATCAAAAGGGACGGGCGGGATTGATTTTTTAGCCTTGAAATGTCCTGTAAATGTTATAACCAGCCGGGGAAAAAAAATCAATTTGTCTATCATCAAATATATCATAGAAACGGTTTACAGTTCCAACTGGTTAACCACCTGAGCTGTTTCACTGGATCGCTGACATGTCCCAATGCTTGGTGGAAGATGATGATATTAGATTCTAAGGACTTGTATTTAATGTAACCCGGACTTCTAGAATTGTGACTTTTGCTGGAAGTGGAGGCAGAAAAGATAGAGATTGCGCACAACAACCAATCAGATTCTTACTTTTATTCACAAACCTACATTAGAAAACTGACAGCAGAATTCTAATTGGTTTCTTTGCCTTGTGTCCTATAATACCTTTACTCTGTATCCAGGGATATGTGTTTGTGCTGCGTTACTTTGACGTTTATTCCGTCATGCAACGCTGTACTGAAATTAAATTTTTGGAAAAAAAACCTGTTTTCCCTACGTTATGTCATATATATTTATTGGTAAAATATAAAAAACGGGGTCACATCGGGTAAATAGACACCAAGCATGTCAAGCTTTAACTACCTGCTGTCCGGTCGTTGTAATTAAACGGTCGGACAGTGGCTTCTTGAGGGCGGGTGGGCGTCTTTAGACGTCCTATCCCGTTCGTGCCAGCCGCTAGGTGGCGCGCACGACTGGGAAACCGGCTTTGAATTTAAACAGCCAGCGATGGCT